GGCTGCAGAAACGATAAAAATATTGTAGAAATATTTTGAGGAGTCTAATTTAATACAAACACTCGAAGACTTGCTCCAAATATTCTGAGACTTTTCCAAAAACGACATCGATTAGTGATCGCTAAAGAGATGATTGGTATTCATCAAACGCACCATTACTGATGATGCGAAATGGGCTTATGAATATTACGTTGAAATTGTGCAGCAATCTAACAAATTCCGCTCCAAAAATGAGCCGCAACCGAGAAGAACCAAATCCACTGAAGGCACTGAAGGCCATCCCAGCCGGGGCTTATAACAAAGTGTATGGAAAATGAGATGAACTGTTGACTTATATTGGGTTTGAAACAGTCCGGGTGAATTTTGATCAGATGATATATATGGAAATACAGAAAAATAACGTTACAAAGCAAACTTAATTGCGCATATACCCACAAATATGCATAATACAATGTTGAAACTTGAAAAGAAAAACAACTCTCAATAAAATAAAACTTCCATAGAAAGTCTCTAAACCGACAGTTAATTTATCCTCTAAGCTTGAGTAATCTTCATGTACATATATATAAGTAAATGCGTTTTAAAACCAAAACCGGTATTGCAATGTTCTCACAATTACAAATCACAAAGCTGTGAAGAACTATGGAATGTATCTACACACATCACTACCAATGGGATGTGGAATTTTTCATATAGTAAATTAGACAGTAAAACAAATTGCACCTGAGTGAAATGCTTGGTCGCGCTAATATTCAAGTTAGTGTCGTAGAAGTTGGCAATAATTGATCAGGTGATTTTTTATCCGAAACAGAGCGGAGCTTCCGCAATGTCTGGAGAGAGCGAGACTTAATATATCAGCGATCAGAAATACTTTTTCTATAATTCTAGGCTAGTTTCAGATTAAAACCTAGAATTCACGCGGTCGTTGTATAGTACTTAAATTATACTGCAAGGCTGCAAAGCGAACTCATTGAAATGAATTCATAATATATACAGTGTGACAGCATTAACATATATTACAGAAAAACGAGCTCAACTTTCACATATGTAAATGAAAATATGTTTGATTAAAATTATTGCTAACAAAAAATTCAATGAGATATTGGTTGCTCTGCTGACAACATCTTACATATATTTCTTCAACGAAGCCCCAAGTAAATTGAATTTGATTCAAAACAAAAATGTATTGTTCTTTTTGTTAGTCCATATAAATCTCTTTCCCAGTCTCTACATACCAAATAAAATTATGTCTGTGTTCGATTGACCTTTGTTCATAATTTTACAATTCCCTTAACCACAATACACTTATGCCAAAGTTTTTCCAAACCTTCAAACAGTTGTTAAACCCAGTTTTCGGATCAGCCTTCCATTCACATCAATTGACTCAAAACGGTTTCCCCGGAACGGTCGTTTGAGTTTGCTGAATAGTCAGAAGTCAGACGGAGCTAAATTATTAGTTGAAATTTTGGGGAAAAACTCACGAAGAATTCGAAAGTGCACCACACCTTAATAAACGAAGAAAACTGTCAACATAACCTTTTTTCAGTCTGTTTTGACATGTTTTTCGGTTCACCTTTTGCTGATTGATATTTCCGTGTCGTAAGCATAGATCCAAGATTCATCGCCAGTAATAATACGTTTCAAGACATCCTGGTAATCTAAAACCATTGTTCCACAGACGAAAAGTGGTTTTGGAACCAATTGACCCTTCATTTTCCTTAAGCACAAATGATCTTACAAATGGTTTTCACTGATCCTTCTCTGACTCTGACTGTTAATCTTCGATTCTCAAGCACCAATTCCAATTCTCGGCCCTCTTTGTATAATTAGCGCCAATCAAAATCAGTTGCTTGCGACAAACAGTTTTTATTGAAGACCTTTTCCAACATTCTGAACGTCGCAGGACCAAAAATAATGCATATAATAAACAAACAATATATTATATATTTAATAAACACTAATTATAATTTTGATATGATATATGATGAAAATGATTTCCTTTTTTGCTCACATTAGCATTTAAATATGAAAAACATTTTACTACAATTAAGTATGAGTGGAATAAAGGCATTCGGTCAATGAGTTCCCTTAGATCCATATAAATTATATGATGATTCCGTGCTAGTTAATTTTGTCGGTTAGTAGTGATATGGATTTTTGTAAATTAGATCAAGCTTTAGAATTATAAAAATTAATTTTGAGTTATGTATAGTATGTTAGAAAATAGGTTACGATCATCCGCTGCACTCAGCGCATCTTCGGACCAACAAGTACACGCTACTAAGTTCAGATGAAACTCTATAGAAACAAGTCAAAACAAATAAAAAAAAAATTACGAAATTACAATAATCCAATAAATACACCCAACAAATTTTATTAATATATTTGCCTATTACAAAAACTAAGAAAACTCTGAACTACAGTCGCAAAATAAGAAAATAAAAAAAAATATTTTCCTCCTTTAACTGCCTAACGGCCCACTGTGTTTAACTTATACGTGTTCTAAGTCAAAGTATATAACCAGAGAAACTTGCATTCAGGCAATAAATTTCGCACGAAACGGTCAAGTTTACGCTGAAGAACAAAAAATAAAGCTATGTGGCCCGGAAGAATTAGTGAAGATCAACTTTTCTACGCCGCTATATTGACAGTACTTGCGATAAGTGGTAAAGATTTTTAATTTTGCATTACTAACATAATTATAATCGAAAGCTTCTCTCTCGAGTTTTTTACGATCGATCAGTTAATGCCTGCTATGAGTACCAATATTGCTTAACGCCGCTCAACTACAGCGGACGTTATATGGAAGACGAGACTTATGGAGATATGCCCGATAAAGCCAAAATGCTTTGCGATGGGTTTTGCCATCATAACAGTACATTGCGGTTGCGTTGTTGTGCATATGACGCCACAGTCAAGTTGGAGCGAATATCGGAACAAGGTATCGGGCGTTTTTATTGGTACATAGATTAAAAAAGAAAGGAATGCGAATATCGAGGAACTTAAAATTTTTTTTATATCTTTCAGTATGCAGATACAATCATTTAATACGAGGTTTCGTCATCCACGGCGAAATAGCCAAAGACAATGAATTTCCATTTATGGTAAGTAAGAGTGTTTACGAAGAAGAAGTAATAAAATGGTGATCCTGCAAGATCATAACTTTTAAACATATATTTGAAAGCTTGAAAAAAACATGTTTCTTCTTCAGGCTGCTTTGGGTTGGCGCATTAAGAACGAAACTACTGGAAACACGACAATAGTTTACAAATGTGGTGGCACAATTTACGATCGTGGTTATGTAATCACCGCTGCGCACTGTCTCTATCACTCGAGGTACGGAAATAATAAAAGAAATGGCGTTTTTATTTACTGTTAAAATCAATATTAGTGATCTACCTGTGGTGGTGCGTCCCGGAGGCTTCGCATTGAATGATACTGAGGCTTGGGACTTGGAAATCGAAGAAGTTATAGAGCATCCCAATTACGAATATCCAAATGCATATAACGACATAGCAATTATACGCCTAAAGACCATATTTTAGTGAGATATTTTCTTTAATAAATTGGTGCATATATAAAAAATTAATATTTACATGACCAAAAAGTGGAAACCCGTTTCATGATCAGCCGGCATGTCTTTACGACGATCCCAGCTCCGCGCATAATGTTACAGCCATTGGTTACGGGAATACTCAATTTGGTATGTATGTATGTGTAAACACTTTAAGAAAATCTTATTAGTGGTATCCTTTCAACCGTATGCAGCTGGTGTATCCTCCCCCTTTTTGATGAAAACGAATTTATCAACAATTGATAACAACGAGTGCCAACTGCACTATGAGCCAGATAGCGATGTGCTAAGTGATGGCATTATATCGACACAGATATGTGCGAAGGATCACGAGAAATTGCGTGACACATGTCAGGTGGAGATTAAGACTTATTATTCTTTAATTTCAAATGTAATTTTTGTGCTTCCATAGGGTGACTCCGGCGGACCGATCATAAAATTTATCAAACCGAAAGATCTTAATCCCATGTCTCTTGTTGTCGGCATCACTTCGTTTGGCATCGGCTGTGCCACCGGCATGCCCAGTGTTTATACGCGTATTTCTGAATATATTGATTGGATTGAAAATGTTACCTATCGAACTGTGCCAATATGATAAAGGAATAATATAATAAAGATTGCTGCAATTTTGTAGTTGTTTTATTTTTCATAATTTAAGAAAAGTAGAAGCTGATACAGTGGGGGTCCCAAAGCATTGACATGTAATCATGCCCACAATTTCTTTCCTCCTAGCATTCCGAACCCAAACAAATACAAATTATTAGCCACAAAAACGGACCGCCTGAAACAAAAACAAAAGTTATTGTACCATTTTATTTGACTTTTCGAATGAATTTTTCAAAAACAAAAAAAATTTGGGAATATGGATAGCTCCAAGTCTCCAAAATTCTATTAAAATCGGTACACTAGTACCGGAAAGCTCGTTTAAAAAAAGATAGCTGCATCAAAAAGAGTTTAAAGTTTAATTTCCGGCCGGATGCCAGATCAGCAAAATATCAATATCTCCGAAAATAATTTGAATTTAGAAAAATCTTCTTATCTTGAAAATATAAAAATAATTTATATTTTTTGTTCCTAGACTAGAATACCCTCTTGACTCCCCTTAACTTTTTATACGGTGACTTTGTAAGCTTCAAATATTTAATGAAAAGAAACGAAAGTATATTCAAATACTTCAAAAATGTTAGAACCCTGTATCAAAATATTGTTAATCAAGAGAAATTTGAGGAAGCAAATTTTTCTTAAGAAGAACCACAAAAATTCCAATAACAAAATAATAAATATAAATGCATTTCTTTTGTATTATATGAAACCTGTTAGCAAACTGTTCTCAAGCCTTTCAAAGCTCACTTATTTTTAGCCGAACATGTTTAACAGCAATTGTTTTCAATTAGTAGCCTAATGTTTGCCAGCAGCATTAAATTCTCGCATTCAAGTTTTGTTTCACCCGCAATCAGTCAGTTGGAGAAGTTGGTGAAGATGCCGCGCTTGCGAAATTATTCAAAACCTATAATTTTAGTCATCATCAATTGTTTGATATTGGGTAAATGCATAATTTATCACACTAATACATTTATAAAAAGATATTCATATAAAATTTAATGTCACTTGTTTTTGCCAGTCGACGCCTGCCATATCAGTCAAGAGTGTTACACACCGCAAAACTATAAGGGATATTATTACACGCCTGAGGAGTTTCTAACCCTTACTGACAGTCAGAAGTCCAATTGCGGGGGTAATTGTGTTGATAATAACGTCACGCTGGTTTGTTGTACTTTCAATAGTCGACCACAAAAATACCGCTTACTCTATCAATGTATGTATATACGTGTGTATGCTTTTGCATATCGTATTTCTTAATTTATTTAATGCTATCTGATCAAATATGACCCGGACTGGTACATATAAATAGCGAATCAATAAAAAGTGTTCCTATGGTTACCTCCTATTTACAAATTTTAATAAGTCATATTAAATTGAGAATATAATTAAATTTGCCAATCATTAAATTTGCTTTATTGCATTAGAAAATTAATATCTGTTCGGAAATTCTATGATGTGAAATAGTAATTTAATAATCTAACACTTAAATAATACTCACAGCCTGCTTAGACGCTCATTTACCGTATGGATTTATTACATTTGGCGAAGTGGCCAAGCCAAATGAATTTCCATTTATGGTAAGCTCGATTCTAATATATTCTTTTTTAAATATTTAAACTAACTTGTTCCCTTCAAATCACAGGCTGCTTTGGGCTGGCGTTTCACCAAAGATAATAGTACAGAGAGCATAGCTTATAGGTGTGGTGGAACTTTGATCAGCAGCAGATATCTACTAACAGCGGCACACTGCTTCTATCATTCCAGGTTCCCTCAAGGAATATTACTTTTTATATTCTTTTATTTTCATTTATTTATATTTGTCTCCTCAGTGATCTGCCAGTTGTGGTGCGTCCAGGTGGTTTCGACCTAAATAGCAACACAGCGACTGATTATGATATCGACCAGATTATTGAACATCCCAACTACATATATCCTGGTCTATACAATGACATAGCAATCGTTCGTATGGCGAAAGCCTATAAGTGAGAAAGCATATCTTATGAGTCATCTTTATTTTGAAGAATATTGACTGGAGATATTTTTGAATTCTAGTAGCTACACGCCGATTGTTGCTAGAGCTTGCGTGTCGTACAGCAAACTGGCCGAGCAGGAAGTCACTGCCATAGGCTATGGCAATACGCAGTTTGGTGAGGAACAGAAAAAATAGCCGAGTTTTTCTTAGATTTAAAATTTTGATATTTTTGAATCTTCCAGCCGGAACCTCTTCGCCACTGCTATTAAAAACTAGTTTATCAATCATATCCAATGAGGAGTGTAATCAACATTATGAGCAGGATGATGAAGTGCTCAGCTCAGGTGTAATCTCTACACAATTATGCGCAAAAGATTATGAAAAGCTGCGTGATACTTGTCAGGTAATTTAATTCTCAATTTCTTCAAATATTTATATTATGCTGATGAGGGCAAAAAAGAGTAAGACATTTTAATTAACATTTTCATTATTTAATGAAACTACTGGACTTAAAAGACAACGTGTTCTAGATCTCCCATTTAAGTCAAAAACGCTACTGCCTTCCTCCCTTTTCCTTCCTCATCGGCAAAATGTGTGCCCAGTCAAAAACGTGGCAAAAACGCAGAATGCAGCCATCTTTGTTTGTTTTCATTTGCACAATGTTACCATTGCAACAAACTATTAAAAATAGTTTATATATTTATAAATAATAGCATTCGACTCCAATTTTGAGTTATTTTAAGAAAATTTCAAACATATTGAACAGATTGAATTATAAAAGTTGATAATTACTACACTATATAGATGGGTTGTGAGAGAGCAATCAGCTGACACGTTTAGACGGAAAAACCAAAATGCTGTAGATTCTCACGTCATCCGACGTCAAGGAGAGAAGGGAGTAGCGTTTTTCACTTGGCACTTACATTGCGCGCCCATAAGATAGGTCGAATCAGCTGACACGACCCACGATTCTGCGTTTTTGACTGTTTCTGCTATTAGGAGTTAAGTAAATAAAATTTAATTACATATGTTACTACGATATTGAAGGTGTAATTAAATTTTTTATATAAACATTTGTATTTAGAACATATTGTTATATTGTATATTATTTTTGGTCTCATGGGAGATCAAAAATATAAGTCAACTTATGGTTTTGTTATCAAATTTGCTTATTATTTACTAAAATAGATTGCAAATAAAATGTATTTAAAACAAAAAAAAACATCTGTGCCAAATGCCACAACAAAATACTCTTAGTGTCTTGTCTTTCTCAAGTATATAAAATACATTCGGTGATTTTTACGGTGAGTGAAATTATTCAACGAAGAAGTTCCATTAAATTTTGTGTGCGTAATCACGTGTCTAGTGCTAAAACGTTCAGAGTGCTCGAAAAAGCCTTCCGAGATTATTTTTTGTCGCGAACAAGTTTTTTGATAGATACAAATTATTCAAAGAGGGCCGAGAAAGAGTTGACAACTAACCACGTACAAGACGACGATCCACAAAGTCTTAACATTTTATGCTCATAGCAGTATATCGCACACCAACACTTTCGGTTAATTATATTTACAACAATTTATAATCTAATTATCTTCATTTTCCAGGGAGATTCTGGCGGTCCTTTGATCGTGTATGAAGAAATCGAAGGTTACACTCGTATGGCTTATATTGTGGGTATTACGTCGTTTGGCATTGGATGCGGCACCGGTTCCCCAGGCATTTACACACGTATTTCTGATTATTTTGATTGGATTGAGGAAACGATTTTTAAATAAACAAACATTTATGGAGAAATATATGCATTTGTAAAATTTAAATTTTTTATAACGGTGTAAGGATGAGATAAAAATGTGTTGGTAGGGAACATTTGTTGTAAACGACCCTTAAAAGGTGTTCAAAATATATAAAAAGCAATGGTAAATACTTTCACTGTTTTTTTTTTTTTACTTTCCCTTTCAAAATTATTAAATTTAATTTTCACAAAAAAGCGGTCATTTTATGCCAGTACACCTCTAAGGAAGAGAGGGAAGGAAAACATAGAGAGCAGAAATCTCAAATGTTTAAACCGTCAGCAACTGTTATAAGTATATGCTGAAGTTGTTGGGTATAAATAAGCTACACAGAACAAAAATTTATTGAATAGCAAGGGAATACTTAACTTCAGAATTATTTGAAGGAGAGAATTTGATTTAACAAGCATAATATTGAAGCTGCTGAATAATATTGGTATACTGTTATGGATGTTAGTTCACGTTTTGCTCATTTGAAGCTATGACATTTTCCCATATTTTTGGCAATTTGTGGATGCTATCCAAAAGAAGTCCCCCTGTTTGTCGACCAGGAATAAATGAAGCCAATTTTTTCAGCCCTCTTATGATGAGGACCACATTCCAGTCAAGTCGCAAGCAAAAAATGGTAGTCAGATGGAGAAGAGTCTATGCTATAAAGCGGGGGAAGCAAAACTTCCCAACCGCTGCGTTGGAAACAATTTTTAAACCAACTTTTAACATGAGCGAGCGTTGTCATGATCGAAAATTATATCCTCGTATCTAGCCGAAAATTCGGGGCGTTAATCGGCAATCGCTCATTTCAGTTTGATGAATTGTTTCATTCGGCTTTAGAAGCTTATAATACAGTACGCCATTCTAATCCCTTCAAATACATATCATTACTCGATTTACCATCACAGTCATGGATATTCAGCTTTGCTGTTGATTTGGCTGGTCGACCAGGTTTCAGTATTCGGATTCTTTTCCTTAATTGGTGTAGACACCACTTACGCAATTATAGCCGAGTTAACAACAGCGCGCTAGTCGTTTCTTCTTTTCGCTACGTGGTGCCAATTGGATATTCCAAGCGCAGCCAGGTCCTTCTGCACTTCCCTGAACTATGTCAATGTCGTCATATATCTCGTACAGCAGGACGGGAATTATAAGTGACTTATAGAGTTTGGTTTTTGTTCGTCAAGAGAGGACTTTGCTTCTCAATTGCCTACTCAGTCCGAAGTAGCACCTGTTGGAAATTATCTACGACTTCAAAGTTATGATTGTCAACAGTGACGTGAGAGCCTAGTCGCAAGTGCGACGACTGTTTGTTTGTTGACAGGAGATATTTCGTCTTGCCAGATTGTGGGGTCTCCTTTTTTATGGATTAGACATAGCACACTTAAATTTCAGTCGTTGGACATGCTTTCGTCCGACCATATTTTACAAAGGAGCTGATACATACTCCTTATAAGTTCTTCGCCGCCGTGTTTAAATACCTCGGCCTCCGCCGCTTTGTTGTTCTTCAGGCGGGTAATTGCTATTCGAACTTCTTCCTCTTCGGTCAATGGAACGTCTACTCCACTGTCATCGATTGGGGAATCGGGTTCGCCTTCTCCTGGCGTTCTGCGTTCACTGCCATTCAGCAGGCTGGAAAAGTGTTCCCTCCATAATTTAAGTATGCTCTGGGCATCGGTGACTAAATCACCTTTTGGGGTTCTACAAGAGTATGCTCCGGCCTTGAAACCTTCTGTAAGCCGCCGCATTTTTTTGTAGAATTTTCGAGCAATACCCCTGTCGGCCAGCTTATCAAGCTCTTCGTACTCACGCATTTAAGGAGCTTGAAATAGCGTCCCACCTTATACCGAGTTGTGGACGAGTGCTCTCAGAGAGGAGGAGTGCAAGAAGAGTAGAAAATCGTTCGGCTGTCTGTTGTGATTGCAGCTCAGTATTCGGATTATTCTTTATATTATTATATTATTTCCCCATTTAGGGTTATTTCACTGATAGCGGACTGGTAGCGCTCAGGTAGCCTTTCTGACAAGCAAAATTCGTTCCTGCTTGAATTGATTTGATTTCTTCATCTTCAAACAAACCGCAGGAATGTGGTTGTAGACCCAATATTACTCGTATTATGAAAAAGTCGCTTTTTTTTTTTTTTTTTTTTTTTTTTTTTTTTTTTTTTTTTTTTTTTTTTTTTTTTTTTTTTTTTTTTTTTGGTTAGGTAAACCGTGATTTCTACCCACAAACCAAATGTACGGATATTCTTATCACTGTGGCTAACAGGTGTTCACCTTTTTAAACTTGTATATCAATGAACATACTGCAACCGCATCTTCTTCTAACGAAGTATCGCAAGTTTTCAGAACAAGTTTGCTGGTCCTTGCGATCAGACGCGCTGCACTAGCTTGGCGTTGAAGCGAAAAGCGAAGGAAAACGCTTGCAAAATGTATAAGCCAAAGCCTTTTACACAGCTTTTCAGCTTACTAGCAGGAGCACAATTGCTGCTTATAGGTAAGCATAAAATATAATATTACATTTATTTATGTATATATAATATAGATTTTGATTAAAAGCTGAAAAAAATATATTTCACAGCAGTTAATGTGCGCTTAGCAATCGCTTGCCACGAGGATCAGCCTTGTTTAACACCACGAAACCGGCTTGGCAGCTATGTAACACACCCTAATTATCTCAAGTTGACCAAGGAGTTGCAAGAATTATGTTTGGGTGTGTGCAGTTACAATGGAACAACACAATTTCTATGCTGCCCTTCACTAGATGAGCCCTCAGACAAAAGAATATCGCAAACTCGTGAGTGAAATGAGTAAATGTGTAAATAAAAAGTGCAAAAAATTTTAATAAAAATTAAATATTTTTATGTTTGTCTGTTAAATTGTTATAAAATTGGATAATTCCACCTTCCTATCACAGAATGTGAGCGAGATCACCGCAAATTCTCCTTCATATTTATCACGAATGGCAAGCCTGCGAGAGAAAATGAATTTCCGTTTATGGTGAGTATGTCGCTTTCATACTAATATACCATACATTAAACAATTTTGTAAATAAAAATTTGTGTTAAAAAATCCCCTTTCACAGGCCGCCATAGGTTGGCGCTCTAGCTTTGGCAGCAGTGACATAACATACAGATGTGGTGGCGCTTTGATCACCAGTCGGCACTTGCTAACAGCGGCGCATTGCCTTTACCATTCGGAGTATGTATGAATGTGTATATAACGGCACATTAACAACGATTTTTTTAATTTCACATATGCACATTTCAGTGAACCACCAATTGTGGTGCGCCCAGGTGGTTTCGATTTAGATGATACCGAGGCGAGGGACATTGAAATCGATCAAATCCACATGCATCCAGGTTATCAGTATCCGGGTGTTTACAACGACATTGCAATTCTACTGTTGAAAGAGGAATATTAGTAAGTAGAATAACTCTCTGAATTCCAAAGGCAGTAGAATTTTGGGGAAAGCGTTTAGCGACCTTGAATTTCAATACTGTTTAGCCAAAAATTTTGGTTCTGTTTCATATGCAGCCACAAGACCATTAGATTTTAGATATTTTTCCCACAGTACTAAAGTCTAATTTGATTACAGTGCCGGCAGATCCGTTAACTCTGGACCAGCATGCTTGTGGGCAAAACCATTGCAGGCGGCAAATGTTACGGCTATCGGTTATGGTAATACACAATTCGGTGAGTACGGAATATGAAAATATTTCTAAATCATTTTCAAGCGATCTTTAGAGGCGCTTAGAGGGGGAAGATAAAATTCAAATAGAAAATATTATTAAACGAAAAAAAGTTATGCTCACCCTTTGGGGAATTTCTTAAATATGAATAATAATAAATTTATTTTATCTTATTTTGCGCATATTCAGCCGGTTTATCATCGTCAAAATTAATGAAGGCCGAGCTGAGTATTCTACCAAATCAAAAATGCGCCGAATATTATGAAGAAGACGGCATTATATTCTCGCAATTGTGTGCAAATGACCCGATAAAAAGGGGTGATACATGTCAGGTGAGTTGAAAATCTGCTAGCTGTCTTTCATTTTCGAAAGTATTTTCATAAAACTTTTTTCTAATATAGTATCGCATATATTTGTATTATTTGTTTTAATTATTAAAATACATGTATATCATTCATTGAACACATCCTTCAAACAGGGTGACTCCGGCGGCCCTATTATAATGTACCGTAATATCGGCAAGAATTATTATAATGTGCCCTATATAGTTGGTATCACCTCATTCGGCATTGGTTGCGGCACTGGAGCGCCAGGAGTATACACGCGGGTCGCCAGCTATATAGACTGGATTGAGAAAGTTGTCTACTATTAAATCCGCCTCGTTTTGGTACTGTAAGAGAAAAAATATTGCGTTTTAAATTGTACGAAAACTTTGTTATATTGAAATAAATATATAGGAGAAAGTAAATATTTAAACATAGAAAGCAAATAGAAACTTGGACCATATATTTGTTACCTATTCCCCCAAATGTAGGCAACATTTTTGTAATATTGAAAAGGGAGTATAGTAATGCACTGCACCTATGAGGAACTAAAAGGTCCTTTTCCCCACAAAAAGGTGCTCATTTATCGGAATCGCCGATATTAAACCACTATATCATATAACTTAAATACAACCTGAACGATCGCAATAAAGTGCTTGCTTGCAAAACTTTTTTAGTTGACGAACAATTTTCCATAAATTTCGCATGAATTATTGTCCATAAACTCCGAACATATTGTTCAGATTGGGTCACTATAGCATACAGATGCTATACCAACTGACCGATCGGAAGCAAATGGTTGTAAAGGAATTTTTTAGTTGACGAGATATCTGCAAGAAATTCGGATTATCGTCCATGGCAAATGTGTAATATCCGAACAAATTGTGCAGATCGAAAAGCTTTAGCATATAGCTGTCATACAAATGGACCGATCAAAATCAAGTTCTTGTAAGGAGTTTTTGAATTTGTAAAGGATATTATAGATTCTAGAAAACTCGAAACTTTAATAGACTTTATTGTCTTGTCTGCAAAGTAAACTTCAACGCATCCAATTATACTAATTTTATTACCAATAGTAGTTTTTATTTAAGTATTATTTTATTTTTAGACCCTAAATATAGGCACAGTTTAAATTCAAGTATTAATGATTTATATAGATAATGATTTTATATTATAGTTTCCTTCACTTCAAACAAATTCAATCTTCCGAAAGTTTTTGGAAAATAAATTGAGGTATGAAAGCACGTTCTCATTTTCCTGGCATGAGATTTTCATTTATGAGCCTTTTTAGCATGAGCTCAGTAAATTTTCACCAAAATTATAACTAATGGCAATTTTAAGCAGAGTTTAATTCCAACTCAAATGCTCGTATATTTTTCGCTACTTTACCATACACTAGTTATTAACCTCAAGTTGTGGTCGCTTGTAGACACAAATTCTTGGAAAGCCGCAATTACTACTCTTAACTCGCTTTAAAAGCCAGAACAAGTTTAGTCATCCTTGTATACACACGCTTACCGCCTGGCATACTGAGAAAAATCCGCTTAAAATGCAGATTTTCTTTTTAACCGGCATTATTCTTTTACTTGTCGTGCTCTTTTCGAGTTTGGGTAATTAGAAAATTTATATTAAAGGTTTATTTTGCAAATCCATCAGTGATGTATAATGTGTGTGACCCCACAGTGATGGACTGTTATGTGTACCAAAGCTGCCTAACTAAACGAAACCGGCTTGGCTCTTATGTGACGCGCGATGTGTATCGTCAGATGGCGAAGGAGTCACAAGACATATGTTTAGGTGCCTGTAATTACAACAAAACTACACAACTGATTTGTTGTGCATATCGAGATGTGCCGGCGGACAAAAGAATATCGCAAATTCGTGAGTGTGTTTCTGTGAAAATATTGGTGTTTGTTGTATTTGTGCTTGCAAATGTATAATTGAACCTACTAAATGCAACTTTCATCTCTATAAACCCTAGAATGTGACATAAATCACACGAGATATCAGCTAATAGTGCATGGCAAACTGGCACAGCGAAATGAATTCCCTTTTATGGTGAGTGAATTAATGTTCTGCTTGAAAATGTTGTTGCATTGTACATACTTTTTATTTTCAATGTTATTACTTAATTATTTAACGTTTGCATAGTTAATTTTTTTACAGGGCGCCATTGGTTGGCGTGATTTGGTTGTGGTCAACAGGATAACCTACAAATGTGGCGGCGCTTTAATCGATCGAAGATATTTGCTGACAGCTGCGCACTGCCTTTTTCATTCAAAGTATATATAACATACCTACAAGAGTTAGTCAAAAACTAACTGGTCGAAATCATGAATCAAAATGAACCTATATACAGAGAAAAATTTAACCCTACACAGAAATTTCTTTATTCTACTCGAAAATATTAATACAATTTTGAACAATGCCGATTTTTTTTGAGCATAACATTTCTTAAACAATCTACCTCAGCGGGGACTAACCCCAATTCAATACCAAAAATCGTATATGTATATAATAAAGCTTTAAAAATGGAAAAATTGTCAATTCTACGAAAAAGCCGAAGGTTCATCTAATCCATGAATTCGAAAGGTTAGCTTTTGGGTAATCCTAATACATACTGGCCATAGCACTAATAAAATATTTTCCCAAAATCTCAGTGAGCCCCCCATTGTGGTGCGTCCTGGCGGTTTCAACCTAACCGATGCGCATGCAAAGGATTTCGAAATCGATGAAATTTACATACATCCTGGTTTTGAATATCCGAGCGCCTACAACGATATTGCAATTATAAGATTAAAAGAACCATATTAGTAAAGATTTCTTCAAATGCTTTTAAATTTAACAAAACTATTGCCTCACTTAATAATTATGTTATATAAAGCAGTGATGTTGCTGCAAAATTAAGTAAGCTTAGTTTTTGGTAGATAGTAAGATTGTAAGACGAGAAAGCGAGTTTAAGATGCGTTCATAATTGCTTTAGTGACAATATTTCAATATAAATTGTGTAACTTGAGTTCAGCGGTTTTCGGCTAGTCGCTTGTTTTGAAAAATAGCAACTCAAGACACACTTCGAAAACGTGTTGAAGAATAAACATACTTAAAAAAAGTGCCGCTGAACGTGACGGGGAAGTGCGGTTGAAAACTAGGAGATATTGAAGCGCTTAATAGAACGTTAGATAGATAGTTAAATTATTATTCTTTAATTTTTTCAGTGCCGAGAGTTTCGAAAACACTGGTCCGGCCTGCACTTGGGCACTACCCTTATTTGCAGCAAATGTTACAGCTATCGGCTATGGAAGCACACGATTTGGTAAGAAGAAAATGAAAGCACGACTGTCAGAATGTCAAATAAAAAATTATAAAATTTCTTCAAACTTTTTGGCCAGAAATGTGTGAAACAACAACCACTGTGCATGGTTGAGTAATCGTATAATAATTACTTTTGTAGTTGTAAAATTTTAAGTATCAAATATTAAATTTATGCTTACATAGTTTGTATGTATATTTTCGCATGCTCAGCCGGTTTAGCATCGGACTCTTTAATGAAGACGAACCTTACCATTCTGAATAATGAAGAATGCGGTAAATACTACGAACAAGATGACGATTTGCTTTATCATGGCATTATACATTCGCAGTTGTGTGCAAACGATACGGTTGGAATGAGCGACACCTGCCAGGTGGGAAATAAACTTTAAACACATTTAATTTATTTTTGAGGAAAAATACAACGAATGCAATGATTAATCAATTTTTATTGCTGCAAAGTCTCTTATTTTGAAAACTCTATTTAATCGTTGAATATTTTGCAATAAAATTTTTTTTGTTAAAATCACAGGGCGACTCTGGCGGACCTATTATAATGTACCGTACTGATGATGAGAATGAGGATTATTATTACGAAATGCCCTACGTGGTTGGCATTACCTCATTCGGCAATGGTTGTGGTTCTAGGGTGCCGGGGGTGTACACACGTGTCGCCAGCTATATAGACTGGATTGAGAAAATCGTATACTGAGAAAATAAGCAAATAATACAAATGATGTAACACAGCAATTTTCCAATAAAAATTATAAGCTAAAAGTTCAATGAAAACTAACCTAAAAATATCTTCATTTTCTCCGCTTGCATAACAGCACTATTCTGTAGTCATTTCACTCTTTTGTTGGTATTGTGGCACTTAAAGGTTCGTTAAATTTGAAATTACCGCATAAATAACGGCACGTTTTGCCGCTAACTGTACACACTAGCTGCCAAATTGCTTGTAGAGTGATGTCACCGCAAAACAGCTGGAGGCGCAGATAGTTCCAAATAATACATGGATGCGGTGTAACAGAGGTCAAATGTTATGCAACACATGTGACGCCTGCGCCTGCGCACAACTGTGTCACCAGACGCCGCGAAATACACACACACACATTTAGAAACAGATTTTATTTGGTGGGACTATTACTGCGTAAATATTTCTCCAGGCACTAATCGCAGCTGAATTATTAGTATTTCCAAAGAGGAGTGGATTATATGGTTATTTATGTACTATTCATATGTACCGTACACATGTTCACGAAGGATAAGTGTATCAGCTGTGACGCGGTCGCATCAACGGCTGTTCGCATCACGAGTCACCGCTGATAAGGTGTGGATTGGCTCGTCGCCACCTTCTATTCATTCTACGGAAAATGTGCAAAACACTTTCGCTTTGTTGTTGTCGCAACAGACTATCATTCACCAAATTAACATAATCGTGATATTGTAGGCACGCCGCATCTATAAAATGGAATATAAATTGAGAGGAGATCACATACACACTTACATATATGTACATATAGTATACCTACATACATGCAAGCATATGTGCCAGATTGGGCCGAAGGTGTTGCAAAGAAAGTGAATTGCACGTCGGCGCCAGCTAAAATCGGTGCTCACACACAAACGCGCATGCTCTTACATGTATATATGTATGTGGTCGCGGTCAAATAAATAGCGAATTTTACTGCCGCCGGGCTTATTATACCTACTATGTGCGGCATGTGGCGCCCTAATACATATGCATGAAATTCGTTGCCTAAATCCAATCGTTGCAAATTTTCGTGATTACTGTTATATGGACTGTGTTGTTTGCCTTTTATCCTTTCATATTACACCTTTGTTGTTGTTCTTCTTCATTTGTCAATAAAAATGCATCTAATTAGGTTTTTATAAAATTTTTTTGGTTTTGTATATATTTGTATGGTCTAAATAAATAAGAAATTATATTAGTTTAGTTGATTTTCTTATCGTTTTTGTTGTTTTATATTGCTGCTAAGCTTAAGTGTTGCATAGTTTACCATTTTCACCGGCCTATTTCAAATGTCAATCTAATGTCGTGTCTTTGGAGCAAAAAATCTTGCGACAGTAGTGTTATATTTTATACATTATTGAGGTGAGCATTGTAGTGGAAGTAAGCGAAATCGAAATGGTCGAGCAACTCAATATAATCTATGTATATAACTGCACTCAATATTTTCCAAACTGCTTCGACGCTGTTTCTATTTTTTTATTCTGACCAATACTTGCCTTTAGAATTGCAATTGAATTTGTGAAACTAATTAATAAATAAACGAAACATATGATAACCCCGAAAAGCATATTTCAAATAAAATCCTGTTTTCTGTACAGTAAGGCGGTAACTTATAAGTATTTGTCTATTGGGAGCTGAAATTTCTTCGACATTTTTACCACTCTTTGTTTGGGTCAGTTAAATTCCGACTACAGATCTGAGTAGGTAGGGGGAACCCCTCCAGGTTGGGGGGGAAACCGAACATACCCGTGGTAAGGTATGCCTGTCGTAAGAGGCGACTAAAATCCACATGCACTATGTCTGTCTTTTTGGGCTTGCCTTGAAATGTCAGCATAGTTCATGTCAGACATGGTGCTATAGTATTCATCGTAAGATGTTTATTGTACGCTATGTTTTTTATTCCTGGTACCCCGACGAGGTCTGTGAAACATCGCGTTCGAATGTTTTGCGAGATATGTCAATCATACAGCCGGGTTCTTGGGTTTCCCAGGGGGTACATATATGTAGTGCTACAGGTCACACCAAAGACTATAACATGGTACCACGGGGAGCAGTTTGCCCTTGGAGTTCGCTCCAATCTGCTCATTGGGTTTTTGGCCCTTTGTGGANGGCAGGAACTCACGTAAAACCACAACGGACTCTACAGTTCTGAAAGTATTAGTTACTTGAAATCGAGAAATTGAAAACCTTCTTTGCAAATTGTTAGCAACATTCAAGGACTTTAGAGAAAAACAACAAATATAATCCAGTACGTAGGATACCGAGGAAGAAGGCCAGAAACATCTAGAAAAAAGCAGAAGAAGGTCGCACTATTACTATTGATTAAAAACTATTCAAAATGTTCTCCAATGTATGGAAGCTTCTTTAGATAAGAGCGCCATAAACTAGCGCCATAACATATTGAAGGAGTAATTGAAACTTATTATACCACTCTATTGATTTATACCAGTTGTTTGTTCGATTTTCGATTTTCCAAACTTTGGCAAATAGTTATAGCAGAAGTTAATTAAAAAACTAAGGTACGTTCCAACGACAATCGTTTGTAACCGGAATGGACCCGGATTTTTATCAGGCCAAAGCTTGTCTGCTCGATAGCATTCCTCATGGAATTATTTGGGGAGTCTTTTTTGACGCTACAACAAGAACTAACTAACTCGTTGTAGTTAGGTGAATACTGCTAACAAGGTTCGGAATTAAAAAAGGGTCCGTGTCGGTCACATAAACGCTAACAATATGCACAAAATTGACTGGGAAACTGATGTTTGTTACTAAAACAACAACGTCCGAATCAATATCCCCTTGGATACTTCGACTTCGGTTGCAGAATAACGCCATGAAATCGTATATTACAACAAATTGTAAACAAAAATAGTACGCTCCGCTACAACAACAACACTACAATGCTCCGCCAATAAATGAAAAAAGTATTTGCAAGTGTAAATATGTACAATTCTATAAATCAATATGCAAAAGCAGTTAAAAATAATTGTAAAACTGAATAAATTTGCTCAAATTTTGTGATTTTTTATACAAATTTTACACAACACATACATACATATATTATTAATTATTTTTTTTGTATTTTATGAAATGAAACAAAATCATAGCGCTTAGATTGTATAGCTTGTATGAGTTGTAGTTAAAAATGAAATAAAATAGTTAGTAGCACAAATGGTATTATGTCACATAATCGTTGATACCTGCTATCGGCTAAATAAAAGTCACTAAATAGTAATAATAAGCTTGTAAGTAGTAATAAACATTTTGTAGGCTATTTCTTGCACATTTTAATAATTTTGATACGCTTTCTTAATTTAGCCTGGCTGTTAACGCTTTCTTTTGGTTTAGTATTTTGTAAATATAATATATAGGTATATAAGTGGTATACATCTTTAGCTGTCATTATTGGTTGAACGCATACAACAGTAATATAACAAACATAATTTCTCTAGCGCTTAGCAAAATGCAGCATAGCATTGTTCATAGTGTTAATCCTCATACATGTGTATGTGCTATTTATATATAAAAATATTTTTGTATACATACATATCGCTTTTGTTAAAAATTACAAGAGGAAATTATGGAAAATTTACAACGAATAAAATATTTAAACAATTATAATTTCTATTGGATTTGAAATAAAATATTGTAGAATCGGTTATTACCCAATCGTTTCGCATACCGTAACAGCTTAATTTCTTACGTTTATATAATTCTAGCTGCCTGTGATTTTAGTTAATTTCTTTGTTTTTAATTGATCTACTGCTTATGCAACGTATTGAAGAGCGCAATGCGACAATGTGCATGTGCTGGCAAATGTTTACATTTTTTTACATTTAACATACATTGCCTTTGAGGTGCTTGGAAATTTTAATTTTTAGCGCTACAACCACACGCACACACGCGCGCATGCGCTCACAACAATTTGTTGCGCGCTCTCTGCTCGTTTGACTTTCTATCTCACTTTGCTTAACATGCTCAATTACAAATGTCCTGACCGCTTTTCAAACATTTATTACAATTATAATACTTATATTAAATTTATACTCCTTACTATCATTATTGTTTTTTTGTTTGTTTGTTTTAGTTTTTCTCTATTTTATGCGTAAATATGTCTATATAAAAAAAGAACTCTTTATTCCTCTAACTCGCACACGCTGTTTTATAACCCGCCCTATATAAATTTCCGCATTTAAAAAACTACTTTACGATAAGAATGGATTAGACGACGATGCCGCTTCCGGGTTCATCCAAGGCATATTATTGTTGTTCTGAAATGGAGATGGGAAATCGTTTAATTTTCGAAAACCATAAAATATTAATGCATATGTGTGATTATAAGTAACAGAAAAATTTATATAAAGTATAATTTTTTTCAAAATTTTACATTTAAAAATATTTAGTTTTGTACATATAAGGCTAACAGTATACGCAATAGGTAAGTTGTTGGGTTAGTAGGGTGCCGCAATTGTCATGCATATTTCTTCTTAGCTCAAATTTTGTCGAATGTTAGTTTGCCCGCTACAATTATTTAAGTTATTTACAAGTGATTCCACGCAGCTACGACAACTTTCTACTGGTTAGACAATAAAATAACGCAGCAACTCATAAAAAAAAACTTCGAAATATTTCATAAACATACGGATACAATAATAAAGAGTTATAAAATATTTCGAGTTATTTTTTTTTTTTTTATGAATTTGAGCAAGCGTATGACATGCGATTAAGATTTGTTTAAAGCGTTTATTAAGTTTACCCTTTTTTTTTTATTTAAGCGTCCAAGCCTCCATTGATGGCTATAAGATACAAAATTTTGAGATATTATGTGGAAGAAATACTTGTAAGTATATATATACTATGTATGTAAGTGAAGCAAATATGTTTCAAAGAGACAAACGTTGGTTAACCCTTCGTTGCATAGCATTGCATATATGCAATGTTAACTTCTCGTTGATCTGGCAGCTACATCGTTTCTTAATTTACAATTTATTGTAAAAGTAAAGAGTTTACTTCTGTCCACTTGTATTCAATAAAAAAAGAGCATATCCATTCAGTAACCTCCTTGTAAATTTATTAGATTTGTTGCAAGATATTGCTTATGTACAATGTTACGTAACTCTGTTGCTAGAAACACGACAATCACAAAATTTCAAATTTGTCATCTTATAATAGCCCACATTAAAAATTTGGGCTTTCCCAATTTCCAAAAAAATTTTTATTCTCACGGAAATTAAATCATGCAACGAAGTGTTAAAGGATCGCAGAAGGTGGGAGAAAGAAGGGGTAGCAAGAAAGACAGTGGCTTTGTTGGAAACTTTAGTTATCAAGGATTTTGTAAAATAAAAACAAAAAATAGGAAGTTATTCAATTTATTTTAATTAGCAAGATTTTGTACCTAAATGTATCATTGCAAAAAATTCATAATTTTTAAAGTATCCCTGAAAATTTAATTATTTAAAACTTGTTTGGATTGAAAAATATTCAAATACTAAATATTTAATATTTTGAAGTGTGTTAACATAAAAAAAAATAAATAAATAAATAAATAAAAAAAATTCATAAAAAATATAAATACAAAAAAAAAATTAAAAAATTCATTAATGTATAAAAAAAATGTTATAATACTTTCTGAGCAAGTCTAAGTAATTTTTGAAAATTTAACATCTTTCTTAGATTATTTTCGGTTGCAGATGATCATAATCTGCAATAGGAAACGATTACGTATATATTTATATTTTTTATCCTGAATGTCTTGAAAAATGTTTATTTTTTATTTTTTACAATACTAGCCGTTTGCTTTTCTTATTAAGTTCTTTTAAATGGTTGTGCACAGCGTTGCATACTTCCCGGCGCATTATTACTTATTTTATATTATATTATTTATTACTTGTTAATTAATTCCTAAACAGGGTGTATTAAGTTTGGAAACCCTATAACATACATATGTATAATTGATGAGCGGTTCTGAGCTTAGTAGATTTAGCTATGACGATCTGTCTGTTCGATATCTTTTTGAGATATCGATCTGAAATTGTTCTTATTCTTCACGAAATTCGGCACGAATTATTTGTCAAGACAAAACTAAAATTTTTGATCAAATTGTTCTATTCAGGGCACTATAGCATGTAGTTGTTTTATTAGTATTAAAGCTTTGGTGAAGCCGAAGTTAATGTTTTCAATACCATTGAGGAAAAAATTGTTTCCATAATTCATTGGCTGCCATTCTAAGATTCGCTTACATTATTATTACTTAATCCGAAATATTTCATTTAATAAAATCTCTAAAGATTGATAAAAACTACCAAAGAACCTAACTGTGCAATATTTAATGGACAGATCACGCTGCTTAAATAAACAATAGTCTTTGGTTTCTGATTAGGACCTAATTTGAAATAAAATTAAAAACAATACAAAACAAGAAGAATACTAGCCAAACTAACAAAACAAGTAACGAGCAACGAGCAACGAAATCGGAGCAATACAACAAATTTACAAATTAAGTACGCAACTAATGTCAAAATAACAAACTCAAATTTCAAATGTGAAAATAAACGCTCGTCACAGCAACAAATTCAACGCAATAGCATAGCAACGGCAGATTGTAGCAATGAACTCAACAAATATGTATTGTACGCTTTATAGCCAACGTTAACAAGTACAGCAACTTTGCATTAATACAGTACTATTTTCAACTTTGTCAGAGCAATCAGAGCGTGTTTAATGGACACTCACTTCCAGCTTACAGTTGCCCAACGACGATGACGATAAGGTTGACGTCGAAAATATTGCATTGTTGTTATCGATATTATTTCCAAAGTTGTTGTTGTGGTTGTGGTTCATTGAAGAATTCGCATCGAAGAAGCCATAATTGAACAGCGATCCACCGCCAGCACCACCGGCGACGCTATTGTTGTCAAAGCTGTTGCCAAAACCGGCGGCATAATCAAATGTTGTTTGCATTGTTGTAGCTGACGTGGGCAGCATCGATAGCGGCGCTATTTTAATGCCCGGTGTGTCGGCCAGAGCGGCTGTCAAGGCATTGCTGTAGCTTGACGTCAACGACGCTGCTGGATATTTGTCATTTGCACTGCCGGCCGGTGGCTGGCCAAATGCGTAATTTGATAAAGGATTATTGTTGTTGTTGCTGTTATTAGTATTAAAATTACTATTGGCACTCGGAAAATCAGGCTTAATTGCGTTGCTGAAGTCAGCAAAAGGCTGAAATTGAGTGGTGGTGGGTGCGAGTGTCGGCTGAAAGCGCAGCGTATTGTTGTTGACGTTGCCGCCTTGGAAGCTGCGTAGCGTAGTGGTTGAAGCTTTCTCATGCAGTTCGGTGTCGCTGTCGCTCGCAATTTGCATATTGCGTATATTATCTACACTTTGACTATGAATTTGTACTTGTGTTTGGAATTGGTGTGGTCCATCATGTTGACTTTTATTATTGTTGTTATTAGGATAACTAAAAAAGTCGTTTGAGCTGACAAATGAGGAATTGAAAACTTCGTAATCACTTTTGGAGTATTGCATAGCTTGTTTGTTGTTATTGTTGTACTTATTGTTGGTTTGTTTGTTATTACTATTATTACTGTTGTTCAGTATGTCATTGTGATTATGCTCACTGCTGCTATTGAAACTTGTAAAGTCATCGCTATCGTAATCAGTAAAGAAGTTTCTGGAGGACTTAGTTGTCAAAAGAAGGGAAGAATAATTTTGCGTTGTTGTTTTGGTTGTTGTTTTTTTTCATGTTTTCATGCAACCATTTTTTTGGTGAATTGAGAAGAGAAATTAAATGTTTAAGAAGAAAAAGAATTGATAACTGTAGAATTTAATTGCATTAATAAAATCAAATAAAAGTACATATTAAATTATAGCAGATTATAGTAAGTAAAAAAAACTTAAGTATTTAGAGCACATTCACTATAAAAATGTAATTAAGCGAAATAATCACAATAAGCAATAGATTTTGATGGAGGGTATTTAGGTAGGAATTTTGAAATCTTAGACGATTCTCCTATACATTTTGCAATTCTTTAATGACACCGCATAATGCATTTCAGACCTTAGCAGACATTAGCAGACCATGCACCAAAGATATTGGCTTAAATTACTCATAACAATAAATTCAAAGTTTTCTTCTTTACTTGAATCTTTACTTGATCTTTTGCTAGAATTTTCAAATTAATTTTCGCATTTTTTATGCAATTATGGCATTGACCAATGACTGTATGGCTGAACATACCTGAGACGCATTTGTGGAGTTAGCAACCGGCGCCCAAGGATCCTGATTCATAGTCATAGCAAAAGGCTGTTGCTGTTTTAGCTGGTTAATGGACGGTACCTGTAAATAACAGTAACAAATTTATAGGTTATTTTTTTATAACTTTCAGTAGCTGCTGAGGGTTCATAACTTAACTTTTCTACCAAGCAAATATAATATAAGCAAATATTACACTAACGACTCACCGCAGGCTGTTGTTGTTGGAATAGATTTGTTTTTGGTGGTATAACAGTATCGCTAAATGGATTGTAGGCAGCATTGCCAGCTTGTGACTGTGTTTGCACGGGCTTTATTAGATTATCCAAGTTAACTAATGACGAGTTTTCACCTAAGAACGATTGCGGTGTTTTCAGTTGTTTGTTCGTATTCGTTGATGATGCATTGAGCGATGAATTCGTTGCAGACAGAGGATCCATTTCATCGAGTAGTGATGCTGTATTGAAGACGCTAAATAGTTTTAGTAAATCAAAATGAGAATGCCAAACAAAATTACCGTTATTGTTGTTCGAAGCACTTATCAAGTTGTTAGTTAGTAAATCGCCAGCCTTATTACGATTGGTTATTATATCGAACTCATCCAAATCGGGCGAAGGCTTCTGGAAAATATTGTTATTATTGTATATTATTTAATGTGAAGAACGATTTTATACCGCCATACCTTAACCGCATTCGTTTGATTACTCTTCCAGGGGTCATCACCGGTCGCACCGGCTTTGGGCGCCCATGGGTCGACATTAGGCGCAGCCGCAAGTGGTGCCATAGTAACTGGTTTCACATTTTCCGTCAGCCAAGGATCTGTTGGTTCCACCCTCTCCGCTGCAGCTGCGCCACCAAAAGCGCCCGTTTTCGAAAGCCAAGGGTCCAGGCCACCAATAGCACCGCCCCCAATGGAATTGCCATTCAAGATCGCTGCTCCACCAGCCGCACCAGCAATTCCAGCGCCATTGCTATGCAACCAACCTTCAGTCGACGAGCCAGAAGCGACGGACGGCGATTGTGTGCGTGTTAGAGCCCAGGTATCATCACCATTACTTGCTATACCGCCGACGGCGCCCAACGGCGCTGGAGCGATGGCGGTACGCATAGCTGCGGCCGGTTGCCAAGGATCGATTTGTGGCGATGATGTGCCAGACCAAGGATCAGATAGCTGGGAAGAATTTATATAAGAACAACAATAATATATGTAAACTAATGTAAATTGTTGTTGGAAATACCTGACTGGCAGCTCGAGCCGGTGTGGCCCATGGATCGCCACTGCCACCTGTGGCACCCAATGGTGGACTCGAAATACTCGTGGCACCCAAAGAAATGTCCAGCAAATCTAACAGATGTGATTGTGGTTCTTCCTTTTTAGGCGCAGCAGCTGGAACCGTTTGATCTCTGAAATAGTAGATAGATGTAAATATTTTGCTTACGGAGTAGTCAATAATTGTACACACTTGAAATCTTGTTCACTCTGGCTCAGCGCAAGCTGCAGTCGCACATCATCGCTTCGTCGCTTAGCCTCCTCCTGTTCGGCTTCTTCGCGCGACATCGCCATGGCCAACTGCAATTGAAGCTCCTCTTCGCCCGCCGTTTGTGGACGCACCAACTCAAGTTCGGACACCGGCTTCGGTTCCTCCTGCCAACCGGGCGGCATATCATGATGCGTCGGTCCATCAATATAACCATCACTACCAAAACCACTGGGATGTTGAGCGAAACGTTCTTTCGCCTTCAAAGCTTTCACGCGCTCATTCTTCCAACGCTCATCGTCGTTCAATAAATTCACCAGCTGCTTAGCCTTTTCGCGCACATGGGTGCCCTGATCTTTACCCTCTTCAAAGTGCACGAATTCACGCAGTGTTTTTATGGAGTAAATATTCTCTATGCACTGTTGCGCCACCTTCTCTGTGCCGGTTTTGATTAAATAATCCAACAGTAGGAGCGCTTTGTAGACATGACGCCAGTTCTTGCCATGATCATTAAGGCGCTTCCAAATCATATTCATTATCTCCGAGAAGGCAACCACATTGTGGGTGAGATCGGCGATTTCGGCCATTATTCTGGGCGATGGCCCCCATGGGTCATTGGAAGTGGCCTCACGTACTTTAACCTGTGAAAAAGAGTGAAAGAGCGTACGAGAAAATATACATTAGATGAAATTTATCATTATGTGAAAGAGACTGGGGTTTGGAGCCAACTTACCTGCGCATCTGAGTAGTTGTGCGCAATATTTTTGATGTTCCGACGTAGACCAGCGACATTCACTTGCATTTCTTCCTTTTGTTTTCGCACTTTGGATGAGATAAATAATCGATTATTTTGCGTGGACAAAACAGAAAATTATTTACAAATATTACTAGACATGAATTAAACAAATTCCTTTAAACTCTTCGCTTGTAGAACATGCAAATGGATAGGGATTCCTCTACGAATATAACTTTTTTTTTATTCGTAACGGTTATCAAGAAAAAGCAGGGATGCAAGGTTGCTGGTAACTAACATTAAGTTAATAGTGAAATTTAAAATAGAGAAAAAACTATTTTGCGCCTATATGTAGGCAACATGCTAATAAGCGCTTATAGTAAAAAAACAATGCATAAGAGCCTAAATGTAAGCAATGGCGCATTATTTTACGCCCAAACATTATTGACGGCAAATTTTTGGCTAAACATTGCATCCATGCTGTTCTTGTATGCATTTGTTAATAAAAACTTGAAAATTGGATGGCAGGCGTTGCATTGGCGATTCGATTTGTCAACCAGGTTTATCGCGATTGAACAGAAGAGCACTTTGTGGTTAGAGGATGAAATGAAAATAAAAATTATTTTAAAAAAATGCTTGCATTTTTGGTTAAAAGTATGTATATGGTCGCAGTTGTGTGTGGAGAACAATAAATTTTAGTAACAAGAATCATATTGTTTATAAAAATTTCGATGTTATGAATTATTTTGAAACGCTTGAACTATTATTTTTATTTGTTTTTGCACAATTCAAAAACCAAAACGGAACTGTCTCCCACGTGCCACACACTTAATTGATCCGAAATAAATTAGTATAACTAAACTGAAACGATAACGAAAACAATTAAAAGAAAACCACAAAATTTAAAGTGCCAAAGGCACACTTTTTGTGGTGACAGCAATTTAAATAAGAGTGCGAAATTTTTTTATGCGAGTGCACCGAATTATTGAAAATAATAGACAAGGCGATAAAGGCGATTTTGAAGGATGGCTGGACAATTACTTGTGTTTGGTGTTATTAAGATGGAAGAAAATTKTAAATATGCGTATATGTATATGTATATACATATATACATATATGAATAGTTATTTTTAATATAGAAATGCACCAGAACATAGGCACACTTGAGGGAAAAACTGCAAACAATATTAGGAGTGAGGAATCGGAATGTAAAATTTCGAAATACTTTTGGAGTAGTTTCGGAATGAGTTCGGAGTAGTTTAAGGGTGACACATACATTTTTGGAAAACTTACTTATTTAAAATTTTATAAGATTTTCTATGGCATTTTATTCACTCTTTTATTCAATTGGTGGAGTATGTACGAATTACCCTACAGTCTATATATAAGCAATGTTCTAATTTTGAAAGGTCGAATAAAGAATTTTAAACGAATCAGTCAGGATTTCGTGATTAAATATATCAAAGTCTTAGAATTTTTCAGGAGCACGGCAGAGGAACGAAAGACAGAACTTTATTTTGAACACGTGTCGCAAAAGTCTTTAAAGGTGCCATTGTGAAGACAACTCCAGGTTAAAAGGTCATAAAAACTGCTGTAGATAATGGAAAGCAATAGGAAATGCATAATTTCAACAAATTGAACAAAAATTGGGTATTTAAACGATTTGAGGGGTCAAAGACTAAAATCCAAACCTTTACAATCTCTCCTCATTGAATCCGATGATTGCTATTTGTTTTCGAAATTTCATAAATCAAAATATGAAGGAATAAATAATTTCTACAGATGAATGCACAAAATGAAAGTTCAATGAACACACAACAAAAAACCGGGATGGAGTGCAGAAATATTTGAATTTCAATATTTACGATGTAATGCTTATTTAACACAATTTGAATACATATAATATGTGTGAAGCGAATTGATGCGCAAGAAAAGTATGTATGTATATAAAAGTATAGGTATGTATTTAGTAAATTGCATTTCATTGCATTGATGCGTTTATTTAATAACAGTAGAAGAATATTTCATAATTGCTAATGATACAAACAAACAAGCAAACATATATATGTATGTATATGAAGATATGCAATTCGAATATTTGCTAATAGTTGTAAAATTGTATTGTATGTATTAGTTGTTGTAGGACTTACTTTTGATTGTTTTCGCTACGCTTAGTTTTTTTGCTTTCTTTATGAACTTTTTCTTAAACTTTTATGGCTTTGCGTTTTTGCGTAAAATGCTAGTTTTTATTATTATTATTTTTTTGTTAGTTTTACTTTTTTGCTTTTGTCGAGTTGTAGATTTTGTTTAGTGCTCCAAAGCAAGCTATGAGATACAAGATACAAGATAATAACACAATCAAATAAAAATAATGTACATTTTTGTGTGTAATTATTATATAAGAAATTAAAGGACATTACACTAGGACGAACCTACAAAGCGAGCACATAAAAATAAGCAGAAATTGAAAGCAAAATTGCAGAGCGCTAAAAAAGAGCTTCGAGGTTATTTTTTTGTGTTGAAAAATAATGATATTTCTCCTCCTAAAAAATATTAAATTGAAATTAATATTCAACGTGGCAGTCGCAATTATTATCTATTTAAAACCTGTTTAAATTATTTAAAAAATTAATACATAATGCCCTCAATCTTTTAGTCAGAACAGTCAACCATACAAATTCTAACATTGGTTATTCTAACTTTTTGATGACTTTTACTTATTTTATACAATTTATGACATATTTCATTAATTTACAAAAAATATTGCCTACATTTACGCGTTCAATCTTAATGCACAACACAGCTTTCTTCAAAGTCATGAACCTCACAGAGTGAAAAGGAATTTACAGATTTTTATCACTAACTACTTTTGCCTTATTATATTTGTATATAAATATCCGTGTGACGAACCGAGTAGATATAGACATCTCCGATCGTATGTATGTGTATACGCCTAGTATCGCAGCTCTTGCGATATCATTCTGGAATTTTGTGCACGACCTCTTTTCCCCCAGAATTCGCTCATTTAACGGTTCCGCCGATACCAGACTTTTTTTTAAACAAATATCTTCACGAAATTCGGTACAGACAATTGTCCAAGACAACACTGCAACATCTGTACAAATTGTTTAGATCGACCACAATAGCATATGGCTACCCAACAAACTGACTGCTCAAAGTAAAGATAAAGACCTTTTTTATACGATTTTATGATATAAGAGATGCTGCTATGAAGGATATTATATTGCATGTTAACGTTGTTTCTTGTTTTTAGTTCAGTTTGAAAAGTTTTAACTCCGTTGTTATTAACTTTGACATACATACATTTAGTTAACAATATAACTTTTTTTTTTTAATTTCCTACTATGCAAACATTTGTCATGCTTATTAATGGCCCTGTATTCACATGTTGTTTTGATTTCTACAGTTTTCTAAAATCATTGATAATTAAGAAACATTCGCAGACCACATTTTAAATCCATTCAACAAAATGTCGAACTTTGTTTTACAACTTGAATATTAGTGATCATTCAAACAACACTCAGCTGTTTCTATTTACAGCAAAAATATATGAAATGATCACTATAAACAAATAAAAACACACTTTTAAAGCAGCTCCAGCTACACTAAAAAACAAATAAACACATGTTTTAGTTAAGTACCTTTGTGTTGCAGAACCAAAAGTTAAAGTTTTTATATTTTCCTGTACTATGACTTTCAAACTTTAACAAAAAACTACCGAAAAATTCAATAAACTATAAGCACGGAGTAAGGAATTGTGCAATACCTTCTCGTCAAGTTCACGCGAAAACTGAGGTCACGCAACACCTTTGCAAACAACATTGGCCCTACCGACGCGCGAAAGAGTATGAAAAATTATGCCTATGAGAGTAAAAAATGGCGAAATACATATACACGCAGCCAAAGCTAACGGCGATTTTTATAAGAAATAGCAACAACAAAGAAGAGCTGTATTGAGTAGAGTGCATAGCAGGGGTCTGAGTTTTAAATACAATTATCTGCATATGCAAAGTATGAAAATAAGCGGGCGAACACATACATGCACAAATGCATACGCATACTTTTATGCATTTCCATAATCACCACCACAAAAGACATAAAAACCACTAAACTAAGGTACAATAATATAATGGAAAACGCCGCAAACAACAAAACGACTTTCAACAAAAATACATACGAACATACGTCAGCGCACACTGACCATTCTCCAGAGTCCAAACACAACACAAACACATAGCCAAAGGATTTGCCAAACCAAAATAACCACACCAAATGCGAATTCATACCTCACCTACATATGTATACTTGTATGTATAAATGTCCGTAAATATATTGGCAAACAAACCAAAAACAAAGCGAAAAAGTGAATAATTCAATTTGCAAATTGCGAAAAAAGCACTACGTTGAGACAAAACGGTTTAGGTGAAACCCTAGCAATGCGAAAGAAGTAAAATAAATAGAGGAAATCGCTACAGCTGACCGCGAAGCTGGCAATAGATTTAACAATACTTTAATGGGCATATATTTTTGTGATTTTGTAGGTTTGCATGCGCTATATGCCTACTTATACGTATCAGGAAAGATTTGCTGTAATTAACATAGGAGAATTAGCTAATAAGTGCTAGCTAATACATATTTTTCTGATATCTCTTTTACATAATATATTAAAATCATTTTTTTTTCTCTGTTATTCCCATTATAACACACTTTAATCACTACTGGTTGGTTTCAGGGGGCAATTGTCTAGTGATTACTAAACCACAAAAATATACAATAGTAATGATTAAATTCGTTACCTTACAATCATTAAAACTGATGTAAAATATTACTTGAAAGCTTGGCTGATTGAACGCCTCAAAACCTTTCATACCAAACTAGTTGCTCATACGCCCTGTCGGGTGACTATCGCATTTGGCATAAAACTGAATGGAATTTAACAAAATAAAAATAAACTAGCAGAACACACAGAATTAAACTACATGCAATATGATTGGAGGATATAAAGAAAGTAAGATGGGATATAACGAGGACTAATGTCTGATTCCCTTTGCCAAAGGCAAACAAAGTA